GATCCCAGGACCCTGAGATCATGACCCGAGCTGAAGGCAGATGCTTAACCAACTGAGCCACCCAGGCGTCCCCCTTGATGTAAATTTAAAACAAGATCTAGAAAACTTTTCTGTGGCTGTTTTGGACTCCTTACCTCTAATGCTGGCGGCCTGTCCAGCCTTCTCGCGGTCTCCCAGCCATCTGCCACAGACCTGGCCTTTCCAACTCCTGCCGAGAATGACATGGTTTAAGGGGAACATCACAGGATTTTATCTTAAATGTGAGGATGAATGCATTGGCGTCATTAAATCACAGATCCCATGCACCTGACCACTGCTACACAAATCATTTTCATTCAACTTAATGTTTTGGTAAATGCACATACAGCCAGAGGGTTAGTAAGTTTTACTTTTCCCTTTAGGCCAAAATTAGGAAGGAAAATTTCTATTGATTTACTTCACATCATAAAGGCATCAAACACTGTGTGTCGATGGTTAATCCCATCCACTCCTGTGCTTCCTCTTAAATCATTCATACCATACGGGGTGCTTAATGTTGATGCCCAGACATCCCAAATAAAGGCCAGCTCCCAGAGCATCATCGTACCTATCATATTGTTTGGATGCCCAAAGTGTGCATTGCTGAATCCTACAGGCACCCCCGTGAGCGATGGCCACTAGGTCAAAAGGTTCTTTGGGGTCAGCTGCAGTCCAGTCTTTCTGTCCAGTACCATATACTCTAAGACATGCAATTCCACCGTCTAAGAAGGAAGGAGGACATAGTTATTTCTCACTTGGAAAGGTGGCTGTTTGTGGATCGTAAACGACAAAGCCCTCCACATCCTGCCTGCTCTATTTCTCAAATACACCAACTCTACTGCCCCAGGGCCTTTGCACCTACCATTCCTTTGTACTGGAACAACTTTCCCAGCTCTCCAAAAGACCACTTGTTGTTTTTAGGTCTCACCTTCAGTGTCATGGTCTCAGAGAGGCTTTTTCTCTCACTCTCTAGCTACCTCCTTCCAGCTCTGCCTGGCCCTGCCTGATTCCCCAGGTTGGGTGTACCATCCCTTCCCATATTTATTTCAGAGTTCAATTCACAGTCTGAAATTATCTTGTCACTTTATTTGTTTAAGCCCCTGCTGATATCAGTCTCCCAGAACCAGAGTATAAAATCTTTGAAAGCCAGAATAATGATCTATCTCTATCATCTCTATCTAGAACTGGTCCTGGCACATAGTAGGTGCTCACATTTTTTATTGGATTAATAACTCCAAGAAGGTCAAAAGGAAATTGGGAAATTCACCATAGATATAATGTTTGATGCCACAAATTAGCATTGCTAAATCCTACACAGACTCATACATGAGCATTATGTTTTTATTTTTATAACAACATATTGCTTAGCAATGCGATTGAGAATAGAAAAGATAATATTCACAAAACCAGATCGTTTCTGAGAACCACAGCAGCCAAGATTAGGTCTGTAGAGCAGAGAGTACCTGCCAACATCAACTCACATTATCTGATTCTAATAAAGTGAATATTTTTATTTGTTTGGCCAGTACATCCTAGAATATGGGAGCAAGCTTTGTACATGTAGAATTTTTCATTAATCAGAGTATTCTACTGAAACCAAACCCTATATATTTTTACATGAAAAATTTGATGAAACTGAATGATCTGAAAAAATTTCAGTAGAACAGTCTTGACATTTACAATAAATAAAACCAGACTATGTTAGCATAATACCCTAAAAAATATACTAGAGGGAGTAATTTAGCAGAAGCTAACCTATGAGCACCACTGTTCTGGTTCACTGGACACGGTGATCCTCTTTGATGGTATAGAAGATACTTGTTTGTTGAGTGTAAAGCTGACTTGATATTTTAAAAAATAAGATTCTTCTTTACAGAGTTAATATCCAGCCTCACTTTTAATGAAAACTATCAAGGATATTAGACATGCCCCTCCATGTTCTGAGGGTGACTCATTTAAAGCAACCTGTTGCCATCCTATATGCCCCATCAGGTTGTCCTACTGCTTCCTTCCCCTTTATACTTGGACCCCAGGAGAAAATATTTGCAAATCATATATCCAGTAAAGGATATGTATCTAGGATAATATAAAGAACTCTTACATACTCTTACATAAAAAACAAAAACCCAACTTAAGAATGGGCAAAAGATACTTTTCAAAAAAAATGTTTATAAATACATGTGTACATATACACATGCATAATATAAACATACTCAAATGGCCAAAGTAAGGAACTGAAAATATGCTCACCATCATTAGTCATTAGAGAAATGCAAATTAAAACCACAGTGAGATACCACTTCACATCCTCTAGGATGGCTACAATAAAAAAGCCAGATAATAGTGTTAACAAGGATATGGAGAAATTGGAACCCTTCACACTGCTGGTGAGAATATAATATAATGCAGTCATTTTAGAAAATAATCTGGTAGTTCCTCCCAACAATTAAAAACATAGTTATCATATGACCCAACAATTCCAATCCTACATATATACCCAAATGAAAAACTTGTACAGGAATATTTATAGCAACATTATCCCTAGGTAGCCAACGGGTGGAAACAACCCAAATGTCCATCAACTGATGACATGGATAAACAACGTGGTTTATCTGTACAGTGGAATATTATTCTGCCATGAAAAGGAATGAAGTACTCCTAATAATGCTACAACGTGGATGAGCCTTGAAAACACGCTAAGTGAAAGAAGGGAGTCACAAAAGACCATTTATATGAAATGTCCAGAATGGTCAACTCTGTCAAGGCAGAAAGTAGATTAATGGTTGCTTAGGGCTGAGGGAGATTAGGGTTGATAGTAAGGGTACAGGATTTCTTTCTGAGGTGATAAATCCTTCTAAAATCGACTGTGGTGATGGTTGCACATTGCTGTATATTTCTGTAGACTTTAAACCATATACTGACGTATACTATAAACCACTGAACTGTGCACTTCAAGTAGGCGAATTGCATGGTATGTGAATTACATTACAATAAAGCTGTTAAATAAAAGAAAATGAGGGTCATTTGCACACACTACTTGATCTGCTAGTGTGCCCGGTGAAATAGAAATCGTTAGAAGCCATTTAACCTAATACAGCTCAGTTCCATCATATCCTAATTGACCTAATGCCTTTTCAATAACTACCAACGGATGGTTGGGTTGGAACAAGAATTTCCTAGAGCACAAAAAGGGCAAATTATAACCCTAAAATGTTAGAGCGATGAGTGACTTCACTCTGAAATATGCCCACATTAAGTAAAGAAGCCACAGAACGGCAGATGGGTCCACATCATATTTACCCGGGAAAATGTTGAGTCTCACGTGACTCCATCTCTGCTGGGAATTGACAGGAAAATAATTGTGGCTGGAAGCAGGCTTTCCTGGTTTAAGCTCTGTCATAGGGACCAGGTAGTTCCAGTCATTGGACTTCAGCTAGCAATAAATATAAAAATGTTAGCAGCGGCTCCGGGGAACGGTAAATTTTCTCATCCTAGTGCTCACGTAGGGCCTACAGGATAGAGATACTTTGGAATAAAAATTGATGATGGATGTCTAATAAAATACTTTAATAAAAATACTAATAAAGATTAAGTCTCAGGTTTACTAAACAGAAAAAAGGCTTGAGGGTTTTTTCATCCTGATCAAAATAGCCACTGGGTGATGGTGGCAGGAGAAAAGGCAGGGGGGTTTGGGAACGAAGGACAAGATCTGAGATTCCCTCTGGGGATTCTTAGAAGAAACCAGAATGGTTATGTGAACATTCAGGAAAAACTGGGCTGTCCTCAGGGACCCTGAGACCTGGGGTTGACCAGTGACCTGAATGTTGTGACCATTTCCTTTAGATTCTTGTTCTTTAAACTGTTGTTGTTACTTATTTTCCAGTCTGTTATGATCAACACTTTTGTAAAACAGAGTATAAATTAATTACTAGACAAACTTTAAAAAACAAGAATGTACCAAAACACAAGCCCAAGTTGTTTATCAAACTCATCAGGCATAAAGTTTGCTTTGTCAAACTGCTATATAAGAAGTATGTAAGCTATTACTGTGGATTTCTGTATTTATCTCATCAGGGCAGCATCCGGTGGATGAGCATGGGTAAGCAGAGCGCCCTGAAACACACTACTCTAGACCTCACACAGGCCATGGCATTCCCTCGTACAGGGGTTGCATGAACCATTCGAGAAGCATCTGCAAAGTCACACCGGGCCAGTAAATGAGGGGAGGTGTACCTGGGTTGAATGTCCCAAAGAAGCACCCTCGTGGCCAGCCATACAGAGCGGTTCCCTTGCCGTCCCAACCACCATGACAGGTCCCCGGATCCTGTTTGCAGGCTCACCTCAGCAACAGCCTCAAACTCCTCCGGTGTGGCTGCCACTCCTGTCCTGACTCCTCTCTGTGGGATTTCTGGTTGTTTATCTGAAGGCAGATTGACCAATAGGGTTATGGTTCGTGTTCAAAATCAAAAAGAATATAGTCTCATAGTGGGCTGTATGTTCATTTTCATTCTGTCAAATAAGCCCAAAGATGACATTTCCTAAGTCAGAGTGTCAGATGACCAAAGTAATAGACACACTTGAAGTTCCTCGATATTTAAAACACTAAGTAATTCCAAAAAGTCCTGCAAAACATATGGTAGGACATTTGTTTGTCAAAATAATACATACCATTTCCAGGTTAAGTCCAACTGCAACAAATGTATCATGACTAGAGTTTTTAGAAGTTGGATCAATGGAAATTCTGGAACATTGCCAGGCCAGTTCCAGAAACAGGACCCCCCCACCCCGCCACCCCTGGCATCCTTGGAATTGATATTTGGGCAATATCTGGGACAATTGCTGGACTTGAAGAAGGAATCTTACTTTTTGTCCTTAGTCATTTCCTGCCTCCAGAATAGCATCTCTCCATCATCCCCTAACTTTTCAGGTTCCCCCACTGTCATCAGGAGCAGGGCCCATCCTTCCACAGAGCCTCGTTCAGAGCTACTGATGCAGTGCTCTCAGCGTAAATTTGCCAACTGTCATGATTTATCTTCCCTAAGTACATGCATATGCACACACATAATGGTACCTATTTCTAAAAAAAAAATAATAATAATGCTGGGACCAACTTCAGATTATGCCAATTGAAGGAATAAAAACCCAGGTCTAACTTATAGAGCCTGTATGATTCATGTGGTCCAGCATCCCACAAAGCAGCAAGGAACCCTCTCTGAAAACCCTGTGGCTACTGCATCATGATGCACACTGGGAGAACCGAAAAGAAGCTGATACCACAGGTCCAGAGCTGGCCCAGACGTGGCTCCACACTGTCCAGGTAGCCCACTGCCTGCCACCCTCCCCTGCAACCTCTCCCCAAACCTCACGGTGCCAGGAGGGTATGCCTCTAGGTGAGGCCTCAAGAGTGTGGGAATAATGAACTCTACGTTTGGTCAAGCTAAAAATCAAAGATCACTGAACACTCTATTGGGAATCCAAGTTCTACAGCTCCGTGGCAGTAAAGTGGCCTTAGACAAGTCGCTGAACCTGTCTGGATGGAAAGTGCACATCAGGGGGCTGGGCCAGATGACCCCACAACCCCACAGTGCTCATTCTGGGGGCCGGTGGTTCCCAGGGCACCTTCTTCCAAGTTTGCTGCTTGAATTGACATTTGAGGAGCATAATCCCCCATGAAGTAAGAAATGTCCACATCGAAGCCTCGGATAATCCCTTGTATCCCCAGCTTGATGATGCACCAGTCATGACCTACGAGACGTGAACAAGGACATCCCGTCAGGTTTAACTCGTTAGATGAAGCGTGGGGTTGAACAGAACTGAAATGAAAACAAGCAGCACCCTCCTCCTGCCACAGAAAAGTGCACACAGGTTAACTCTCAGCTGTGACTTAAAGATCTCCTATAACATGGCCATATGTGGCTGGCCGCCGTGCCCCACGAGAACCCGTGTTCCAATCACAGCAGGACATGCATATAGGCCTTGGATCCAGGGAGACCGGATTCTGGTTCCAAAGTAAAAACTGGCCTCTCTAAGCCTTGTTTCTACAACTGCGAGATCAGCTTCCAAAAAGGTCAACTGTGACTGTGCACAGTGTAGACAAGACCCCACCCAGCTCACCAGGTGCTCATTGTGGAGCTGGGCCTCCAGAAGCGGCCTGCTCACCGTCACCTCAGGCTCTGGGGACTTCCTGTGGGGCCCCACCCAGCTCGGCCCCCTGCATCTGCTAAAGTCTAAGAAGTCTCCAAGTTGTAGATCACCAAGTAGTCCTTGGTTACTTGCAGTCCGATGCAGACCCACCTTTAAATGCCCAGATTCATTGGAATCTGATCATGTCTGGAGTACCTTAGAAATACCCAGTATCTCTGTAATACTTGAGACAGACCCCCCCCCAAAAAAAAAAAAACCCAGTTATTAGCCTAATGCTGGATTAGTTTGCTTTTTCGGACATTCCTTCAACTTCAAAAGGAGTATTTTGATTGAGCCCGATGAGTAGCAATGAGAAAAAGTAGATCCTCAGGTGACAGGAAGTGTGTGCAGTGATGCGACCGGGGCTGAGTGAGTGAGGCTGCTTCCACAGCAGCTACGTGGGGATAAGAGCACCTGCCCCAGGGAACGGGGGTGAAGGCCCACCGCAAATGAGCCACACCGCTCGGGGAGGTCCTCGCCGCCCCCCACAGCCTCACCGACGTGTCCCAGCGGTGTGCACGCCCTCCTTCCCGCCTGCTGGTGCACACATGACCCCTTCCTACATCCTCAGAGCCTGATGTTCAGAAGGGTCATCCGAGATACGGAGCATTCCAAGGGCCCGTGACCAACTGACCGGAAATGCACACAGGCTTTCCAACACCGTGTTTAAGCTTCACCGCAGTGAAAGAAAGAGAGATCTCGTTACCTGGAATCCTTTTCCTTCTGGTCTCCCATCCATCCATCCACTTCCCAAACTCAGTGTATTCGTGTACTTTGAAGCTTGGGCTGTCACTCTAAAGCAAAGATGCACAACAAGTCCATCGTTAACACCCATGCGAGGGCCTGGGCTTCCGGCATATCCACTCCCACCCCAAAGGGACAGGTGGGCCATGCCCGCAGGGACTCTGTGGGAATCCTAGGTAGGTACAGGGGAGTCTGCTACTACCTTCACACACAGGGACCCCATTCCAGATCGGGGGTGCCTTCTTATCTTTGTACCACCTCCAGAGAACGAAATTCTGCTTCTCTGTGGGCGGGCCTCAATACACAGAATAAACTGCTGATAGCAATAGGTAAAGCCCCATCACAGTTCATTCTGCGGCCCCGCAAACCACGCAGCTCCCTGTTGCAGCCTATATGCATCCTGAAAGGAGCAAAGACAGAGAGGACAGAGTTCCCAAGCAACCTAGAAAAGACTGCTTAACAAGGAATCTGGCCAAAGAGTGTAAGTGGCAGGCTGGATGCTAGGGCCCAGCTGAACACTTAAACCCCAGCCCTCAGAGCTGCTCTGTGCCCACAGGGGGAAAAACAGGATGGTGTGAGGCTCAGCTCAGCCCCTTATTGCCCCGAGACAAATAGGTGAGCCCCCACTGCTTCATCCTGAAGAACGGGGATGGTGAACACATCCCTTGCAGGGCTGTTATGAGGTTGAAATAATACGTGTGAAAGCCCCCATCAATAGCATAGACTCAGAAATTGTTGTGCTTGGTGGGTGGCCAAGCTGGGGGACATTTTCACTTTTTACATCAACTCAAGTACAAGGAGAGTCTTATGTTTCTGCTTAGGAAAACCTCCCCAGCAGGTGCAGAGGAAAAGAACAAAGTCACGAACACACGGTATTGGTATTGGGGCCAGGCTGGGCCCCCATGGAGATGCTATGTGGGGCAAAACTGAAGGTCCACACGTGCTCAGACTCAATGCCCGACCTCCTGTGCCTCAGTTTCTTTGTGTGTTAAGGGCAGAGATACAATGCCGTGTTCCTTCTGAGGTCATGGCAAGCATTAAAATTTTTGGAGCAGTGCCTGGCATATGGTAAGGGCCCAATATTTGTTTAGCGTTATTATGTCCAAGTTGGTGGCATTTGAATTGTGTTACAATCCGAACACATCTAAAGACAATCTGAACTCCAGTCTTTCCCGTGTCCGTAGGGGATTCAGAAGCTTTGCTGCGAACCCAGCAAGAGAAAAGGGGGTGCACCACCCACGGGAAGCCCAGCGCTCGCTCAGCCCCAAGCTTCCTGGTACTCGGTGTAGCTTTGGTGGCAGGGGGTCCTCGCTGGTGCACTGTCGCCCTGCTGCCGTGGCAACCGGATCGACATGGAAGGAAACTCGTGACTCGACTGGAAACAGCACTTTCACAAAAATGGTACTCACCAAATGAGGACAAATCAGCTCGTAAAAAAGGAACACCAAAGCCCCATCCCAGGGGTAAACCCGCACGTGTGCCAATCCCTGCACACGGATGTTCATCGTAGGTAAAATTTAACCAACCTAAATGTGTGTCAGCACAGGAAAGGGTCCCAGTGGGGTGAGGGACCCGGTGGTGGGCAGTTCAGGGGCCACCAGACCGTGCCCCTCTGCATGGGCAGAACACGCACACATCCCATGTGACATGTCACAGAACCTTAAGTACTTTATAAGTACATGTATACAAATTTAAAAACAGACAGCAGGACTACTTTCTATATACAGATCTATTTATTTAAAAGTATGAAATATATTAGAAGAATGTGCCAATCTCGCAGTAGTGCTAATTCTATAAAGGGAAGGAGTGGATGGGCATTAAAGTGGGTGGTGAGAGGGACCTTAGCTTTATCTGTGGTTTGTTTGTTTGTTTTCAGAAAGGAAATGTACCTATGTACACACACACGCATATTATACGGATATATGTACACATGTGTGTGCAGATATGTATGTGTATATAGAATATACATATATACTTGAGTGTAATATAAGAAAAAGGCCCCATTCTTTGTCCCATCCCCCTCCCAAGCCCAGCACCTCACAGACAACCACACTTCACCATTCAGTGTGTATCCTTTTAAACACTGTTTTATGTACGTACAACACGCATGAACCTTCCGTTGCCGGCATGCGTGGAGAGCGCTAGCTCATTCTTTTTAGTGGCCGCGTAGTATTCCACATCTGGAAGCTCATATCATGGGCTCTTTAACCAGTTCCCCATCAGTGGACATTTAGTTGGTTTTCTCCCATCCGGACAACACCGGAATGACTATTTTCTACATATCTTTGCCTATTTATGCAAGTAATATCAATCTGTGGAACAGCTAGGCCAAGGCGTGTATGCATTTAAATTTCCTATAGAAAGACATATGGCAAAATGATCAGAGCTTTGACCTCTATTAGCTGTGTGACCTAGAACAAGTAAATCAACATCTCTGTTCCTCATTTTATTATCATTTTCTCTGAGGAGTAAGTTCATATAATTGACAAGATGCCCTTAACATGCTCCAGACCTGGCTAGCTCCTGCCCAGGAAGACTGACCGGAGGGCCAGTGAGCACGGCGGAGGCTCACGGCGGAGGACAGCATGCTGGCCAGCGGGCAGACGCTCTGGCTGCAGTCACATTCGGTGTGCGTGGGCATGAACGATGTGCACAACTGTGCTTGTCCGCCCACTCGCAAGAATTCACACCCCACAGCTGGTGTGACAAGGTTGCCGGATTCTAGCTGAGGCTCCCTTCTTCCCTCTATTTGTCAGCATTTTCTGGGCTTTCTGTTCAGTTTTTAGTAAGCATGTCCTACACTTTTATAATTATGATAACATTTTCCAGACTTTCGAGATGTGTGCCAGTTTTCTTCCCAGCACAGTTTACAGATCACGAACTCCACGTTAGACAGAGGACAAAATACGAGGATCTCAGTAATTTCCCCATAAAGCAGTGCAGTCCGAAATCCCTGTGTCAGGTGCCCGTCTGTCTCCAGCGTGTCTTAGCATGAGCTGGAGCTGGTTTCTACATGTTTCTACTGTTCTAACATGCTAATTCACTGGCACACATCCCAGGACTCCCATCCCCAGCACCCCGGTGGATTTTAACTGCACAGATGGTTCTGCCTCAGCACTCCACGTTGCAGAATGCTGAGGTACAATACCTTTATAAGGTTTTCCGCCGGAGCAAAAAAGTCATCCGTTGCAAATAAAATCTAGACAAATGAAGAAAGAAGTCAAGATGAAACAACCATAAATTAAAAACCATTTTATTTCATTCCCTAGTGAAACATTACAAGATGCAGTAAAAAGGAACGTGGAATTGCCAGGGGGAGAGGGACGATAGGAATTAACCCACAATGTGTGCTTTTTAAATGTCTAGACTTCACCACCTGCCTCCTCCATCCTTCCTTCCATTCACCCGCTTCACCATCTGGATGCGGAGGTGCTAACTTCTTACGCTTCGCAAGAAAATACAGCAGCTCTCCTTTCCAAGAATGGAGGACACGGGGCTTTGTGATTGTCTCACAAGCAGAGCGATGGCCACCCGTGGTTTGGCCGGCTCACCGAAGGATGCGCTGCTGGAAGGTTGGCCTGGTCACTTACCAACCAAAAGCTGGACACTTTTGAGAGTGAGGGGGTTGCTGCTAATCACACCAGGAAAACAGGTGTAAAATGGATTTTCTGAGCAAAACAGGCTGCAGCCACCCCTACGTCTCCCAGGACCCAGGGACGCTGCAGTCGGGAGGGGACACCATGCCCGGATGGTGGCGGCTGGCTGCTCTGTGACCATTTCAAGCCCACGTGTTTACGACATGAGCGAGGTGTTCATCTCAGGGTGAATGTGTGTGCGTTCAGGAAGCTGTGTCAGGGCCTCGTCGCCGACACCTGGTGTCAGTAAGCACTCAGCGGCTCCACAGCTGACAGGCTCAGCGGCGTCACGGAGCCGACGCTTAGACCTCAAACGTCAAGAATCCGAGGAGGACTTACCCAAGCGTTGGCTGATCTCAGGAGCGCTCCGGAGAACTAGACCCCTGCTCCCGCGGCAGCCCTCCGGCTCCTCCCGGTCGGCAGTGGTTCACCCGGCAGCAGTCTCCGGGGGAAAAGGGACCTCTGCCCCTGTGTTGGCGAGGCTCCTCCTCGTGGGCGGGGTGCGAGCCCCACAACGGCCCCGGGATACTAACCCCGCCTTGCCTGCCAACACCACGCCGTTGCCCACCAGCTACAGGGACCCACGCTGGTAGGGGCCCCTAGCTTTTGGTTGGAAGGACTGACTCTACAAAGAACAGCCTCACAGAAAAGGACGCCTCACCTAAACCTGGACTTACTTTCTCTCATCTGCCCCTTGCCCGGAACAATAGTGTAATTAACCTATCATTGGTTCAGGATGTGTTATTTAGGAGACATTATCCTGTGTGCTCTTGGCTTGTGAAATATTATTATCAGAAATTACAATTTCCACAGTGAACCTGTGTTAAATAAATTATTGGTGAGGACAGTCTCAGTCTCTGAGTATAATTTGCCTCCAGTGAAACACCTGGTCTCTGACCCCAGCCCTGGACCTAAAAGGTCCGGGGAAGACCTTGCTGCTTTGCAGCCGCAGGCTGTTTGGAAGGCAGAGTGTAGGGGAGTCCCTGCTGTGCGGGGGTTGACCTGCCCCCCACAAATGCGTCAGGTCAAAGCTCAGGCGAGCGGACGCATAGGAGTCCCTCACCTGTCCCGACCCTTCACCGGCTCCTTGGAAGAAGCCCTCAAAGGGCACACGGGGCCTTTCCAACCTCCCGAGGCTCATGCTCCCCAAACCCCGGCTGATGACTTCCAGAAACACTAAACCGACAGAGCATGTGGTGCTCCCCCCTCCGCCCAGCATCCCGACTGAAACGGCCCTCGCCCCTTCGCCCAGCCGGCTCCCTCTCCCCCTGGAAGACCTCACCTGGACAGCCTTCCCCAGCACCCCCCACTCGACTGCCCCGGCCGGAGGAGATGCGCCCCCCAGCACCTGTCCTTGCCTTGACTTCCACGTCTGTCTCCCTGGTGGAGCACTAGTGTCTTGAGGGCAGGCCCAGGCCCCTCCCGTCTGCACCGTACACAGCACCGTGCCCTGCTGGTACTCGGTACCCAGCACTGGGCTGCGGCCCCAGCCCTCGTGCACTGTTAACAAGGGCTCCAGGTTACTCCCGTGCGACCGCGTGAGGACCACTGGTCTGCACTGTGAGAAAACACGCGGGGTAGAGAGTCCTTCACACGGGCGCAAAACGCCTTCTTGTCCTAAGCTTAAGGCAACGCTGCCTTTGCCGAAATTGTCACCAGGTTTTGGAAATTCTTCGGAAGCCTTTCGCAATAATGGGCTTCCTCGAGAAGACTGAACCTTGAGCCTGGTTCTTGCTCTTCTAACCAGTTTCACAGTAACTACTCGTTCTTCCATGAGACACCCCCCCCCTTACCTTTCCTCCTACGGCGTCAGACGCCATGTCAGCCAGCCGGGTGAAGTCCGGACACCCGGCCAGCTCTCCCTCCCTGGGAGAGTCGGCCATGCTTCCTAGCAACGAGAAAGGAGGCCCGGCAGGACCTGCGCCAGCGAGCGAGGCCCTCACCCGGGTTCCAGGCCCAACACCCAGATTGTCATCCGGATGTGACGGGCGTCCACCCGCCACCGGCCCCTTCAGGTGACTTTGCGCAAACAGTGAACCAGGAGGGAATTAGAGCATGGTTTCCCTCTGAAGTAAGTAAGAACAAAATACCACTAAATACACAAATCCTACTGCCTCAAATTGCAATTTTATTTTATTTTTTAAAGGGGAAAAACACTTTAACTTAGGAATAATTTGCTTTTAATAGGGTCTGGATCCATTCAAAAATAAACATTTACTTGAGCAACTAGGAGGCAGGCCCTGGCTAGAAATGGGGTATGGAGGAGAATGCATGTCCCTGCCTACAGGGGCTCCCGCACGGGGGAAACAGACACCCCCAGATGCCCATGCAGAGCAATGTTCTGGAACCATCTGACGCTGAGGCACAAAGGTCGCTCCATCCAAGAGGATGCAGGACCCCTTGTCATATCACAAGTGGGGCTAACGTAACTTAATCCAACCCCCACCCCACACCCTATTTTGAAGTTGAGAAAGCAGAGGTGTGGACAGGGGAGTCAGGGCTGGCCTGGAGGTCGCCCCACTCCTAAGCCAGTGGATGTCCTCTTGTTCCTACCATTTCTCCGACCCCTCATGGTGAAAAGAGAAAACCACGCAGAAACTAATCTCACTAAGAATTATTCACGATAGAAGAAACACAGTCAATGGACATGAGAAGTCAACTGTCCCTTGAAATTACAGGCATATAATGAATCATAAAATGACATTTTTCTTATGTCACTTGTGGACGCTTTCTGTAACAAATATACCCCGTCACCTGCTCTCGGGAATATGAACTTGAACAACTTCTGCAGTGACTAGCTATTATAACTTTGAAAGAGCAGGCAGCTCCTTGCCATTGTCCTGTGGGCGGTCCTCCCTGAGGTCTTCACGCCGGGGACCCGGGCTCTGCCGAGGCTCCCCCTCCTCCACACTCACCCCGGTGGCCTCACACCGTCTCCGGGCTCCTAACACCACCCACACGCTGCTTGCCCCCAGATACAGATCGCCTTCCTAGGTTTCCTGCTGCCGACTCCAACGGTCTCGCCGGGATGTGTGACCGAGTGCCCCCCACACGACTGCTGCCCCATCCTCGGTCTCCCCACCTCCCCTGGAGGCACCTCGTCCTCCAGCTGCTCAAGCAATCCCGGGGCCACCTCTCCTGTGTCTCCTCTTTCCCTTCGACCGCAGATCCTACCTATCAGAACATTGCGCCTCCCCTGAAGGTGGAGCCTGAAACCGTTCATATACGGCATTACCCGAGGAGGAGGGAAAGTGCGTAAGGGCGTGGAGGACACAAGGCTGGCGTGGCTTCCTGGCCGTCGTCACTGACAACAGCACATACCCAAGGGCCCAAATACCTTCATCTACACATGGAAATCTTCCACAGCACAATTACACGTATTACGGGCATTATGCCTACACAGGAAGAGAGGGAGAATGGGGCACGGGGAGAGGGGAGGACATCCTCAATCCCTGCTGGATCGCTAACACACCCCCAGCCGGGCCCCGTGTCCACCCCCCTCACTGCAGCCGTCTGCCCCCAGCAACACGCCAGAGCGACCTTCTGCCGAAGCCCCGGTGCATACAGCTCCCTTCCACTCAGAGTGAGAGCTGGGGTCCTCAAGGTCCACAGGGCGCCCCCGACTGGCCCAGCCCCGGCCCCCGTGTCTGTCCTGCCCCCATCGCTGGGCAGCGGCCGCTCCCCTGCTGGGAGGTCTCCCCTGGGTTTCTGCGCGGTGCACCCTCACCTCCCTCCAAGCCTGTGTCCCACGATCACCTCCTCAGTGCGGCCGGCCCTGACCCCCACTCACAGCGACATTTCCGCTCCCCCGGCACCTCCCGCACCCCAAACCCATCTACCTTTGTTTCCATAGCAGACAGACATACTGTGTCATTTGATTGTCATTTTGTCATCTGTTTCTCCCAGTTAGATGTGTGCTCCATCAGGACAGTAATCTTCGTTGGGTCCACTGGTGTTGCCCTAGGGCTTGGAACCGGCCTGGCCCGGCACGGACGAGATGCTTCATAAATATTTGTTACGTACATGAGTGAACGAAGAATGTTTTCTAACTCATTTTGTGTTTTACAATACTGGTTCCCTAATTGGACTAAGATCTTCCTGAGGATGAAAAGGTGCAGAAGAAATCTGCTAACATCTATCATGAGTTTGCAATAATGCCGTGCGCAGCTCACATATCTCATCTCTTCTAATCCTCAGAACAACGCTGAGATTTTGGTATTATTGGCATCTTACAAACGAGAAATGCAGCTTTGAGAGGTCAAGTAAACTATACAGACCACACAGCTGGAAAGGGAGCCACGTTTCCAACCCGGATATGCCAAACTGTGGTTGCTATTCGAAAGCCCGTAGCACAGTGCTTGCTCGTGGGGGGTGACAGACGGGTGGGTGAGCTCATTCCGTAACCGTGTGTGTGGTCCTGTGACCTGCAGGCCCTGAGCCAAGCGCTGGGGTTACACCTGCTCCCGGGGCTGACGGCGGAGGGCAGGACGCGGACACAGCAGCAGGCAGTGCTGGTGATCAAGATGGCAGTGATGTCCTCACAGCGCTCCAGGACCCTCGGGGGCCCAGGGGTTCCCTGTGGGGGCGGACTCCTGAGCCGGGGCTTGAGGAGAAGGAGGGGCAGGGGAGACACGCAGGCAGATGGGGCTGCAGGACCCACAGAGCTGGAAGACGACATCCGTCTGCACCTGCACTGTCCGACTTAGAAGCCACTGGCCTTGCGTGGCCATTTAATACACCTAATAATTTAATTATATAATGTAATTATAATGAAATACATGTAATAAAATTAACAGGGCAGTTTCTCCTTGGACTAGCCACCCTTCGAGGGCTCCGTTGCCACATGTGGCTTCCGTGTGGGATAGTGCATGCACAGAACCGTCCGTCACAGAGAGCTTTCCTTGACTGTGCGGGGAGCGCAGAGCTCACCTCTCCACCGCCACGCAATTCCCCACTACTGACACTGAGCCAGGAGGCAGACACACACCGTACGCACAGCCTGGCACCACAGGGCTTCTGCGTGGAGCGCGCTCTGCAAGTTTGCTGGGTCCCGGCTCAGGCTCGGCCAGCCTCTCCAGCGGCCGGCACCCGGGCTCAGAACCGCAGAGCTCGGGGCCAGCCCGCCAGGTGCAGGCCCGGCACAGATGGCCGCCTGGCCACGCCTGTGGGTCTCTCCAGGCTTTCCCCCGACAACAACAGGCTAGGAACTGTCCTGCGTCCCAGACAAAACCACATGGTGCCCGGCCAGCCATGGGTGCTCGACAAAGCCTTGTCGCATATTTAATTTTCTTAAATAATCACAAAACATTTTATTTACCTGGTCATTCTTTTGAAAAGGCTCCATATTTTTTCCTGGCAGTTGCAGCGAGCTCGATATGCACCAGGACAGAGCATGCTAACATTTTGCCAAAGTCAACAACTTAACGCCCCTCTCCCAGCTACCCAGTTTGACAGAAAAAGCAAGGTGTCATGGCAACACGGGGCAGGGGCCTTTGGGGGTCTTGTCATCCTGCCTCCCTGCTGGCCAGAGAGCAGCGGGAAGGGGGTGCTCCTTTCATCCTTGCTCTTTGATCTTTTTCTTCGATGTGCCTCGAATGACCTGCGTGGACCAGAGGCTGCCGGTTTGTGGGGGAAAGAGCCAGACAGGCAGGCATTTTACATGTTTTTCCAAGGGATCCATGCTCCCAACCCCTAATCCTGACACTCAACTTAGACAATCAGTCACTTCAGCACTTCTTAGGGAAAAAAAAAAAAAAGCTCCCTTCTGCAAATGAATGTTTCCATTTGGCAAATAAATAAATGAGAAGCTCCTCTCGAGAAAGCATTAGTCAGGGTCACAGTGCCCTCTGTGGCCGAAGCTGCGGCGAGGTAGGACCTTTCCGGCCCCGGCCTCTGTGGTCATACAGGGGGAGGCCATACAGCCTGCCCCTCCAACTGGATCAACACGCTTTCCTCGAGCCCCTTAAAATGCATGTGCATTCACTGAAGAGCTCCGAAAAACCAGGTGGACATTTTCGAGGCCGATGTCCGTTTTTCCAAATGAAGCCTAGTGTTCGGACATGTCTGTTTTCATTGGCAGAAGTGAATTCGGTTTGGGGCAGAGATTTCTCCGCAGGCTCCTGCCTCAGCCTTCCCGCCGCCCCCACGCCCTGGCGTCCCCCCAGCCAGCGAGCTCCCCCCCTTCTGTCAAGGGACCTGCCCCGCTGCCCCCGAGATTCAGTCACTTAGACACTTCATCCTTCTGTTGCTAAAGCTCCATTTGCAGCTAGGAGCCTGCTGCAGGCCACTTACATGTGTTTCACTAAGATAAAGGAAAAACAACAGACCTTTGTAAAACACTGCAGAAGCACCACAGGAGATAAATCTGTGAGGAGCATGAAACCCCTGTACGGTGTCACAGAGGTAGCGGGGGGGCGGGGGTGCAGGTAAAATCCAGCAACAATTTGCTCCACCCCTGCGCACACCCCTCCCCACTACTGTGCACAAGGTCAGGCCTGGAGGTCGCAGAGACCATCAGTACCAGGTCCTAAGTGTGCAAAAGGCATAACACCGGCCGGGTGCTTTATGGTTGCACTAAGATGGGAACCGTTTGCCACACGTTGTATATGCCGGTTTAAATCCGATGAAATATAGAACTCAGTTTCTTGGTCACACCAGCCACATTTTCCGTGCTCAGAAGCCGGGCGTGTCCGGTAGCCACTGCACCGAACAGCACAGAAGACAGATTTCCATTGCTGGAGAAGGTTCTAGCCAACGGTGCATGTTGTAGGGGAGCACCATTGTCTTAATATCCCTTTTTATTAATTTAGACACAACGGTCGATGTTCAGTCATGGTCTTAGAACTCTTCAGCGACCTCTCATCAATGCAGGGAAGCGCCAACAAGGCAAACCGTCTCTTCGGCTCCCTCATGCCTGGCCCTGTGACCATGTGACATCACACAGCAAGGGGGAGTTTGCAGATGTGATTATGATCCCAAGACAGGGAGGTAATTCTGGGTAATCCAGGTGGGTCCGGTCTGCTCACAGGAGACCGTCAAAGCAGAGGCCTTTCTCTGCCTGGAAGAGTAAGAACCACAGGCAGAAAGGGAGTCAGAAAGAATCAAAGGTTTGAATCATGCTCCAAGAGAGAGGAGGCCCCTGCGTGCCCCCACGGAGGCCCACGGGCAAGGACCATCTCACACCGGCAAGGAAGCAGGAACCTCGGTCCTACAACCACAGAAGCGGATCCAGCCGCCCCTCCCCAGAGCCTCCTGAGAGCCAGGCCCAGCCAGCGGGTACTTTGACCACAGAAACCCAAGCAGAGAAATCAGCCGAGCCCAGCTGGACTTCTGACCTAGAGACCGTAAGATAACGAACTGTGGTTAGACACTGAGAATATGTGACAACACCACTAACACAAATCCTTATTTGTTCGTTCAAACTTCACAACTGAGAAGCGACCATCACCAAAGAGGCAAGAGAGATGCAGAGAGTTCTCAGCTTCTGGGAGAGATGGCGAAGCCCATCGGATCCTTGAGGCCAGTATCAGCTGTGCCCGTTTTCAGGGACACAGAGAGGTGCACCCGGGGACCCCAGGCCGACCTGTCTGTCTGGGAACAGCCAGCCCCTAACCCCGCAAATGGCCAGCTGGCCGCTCTGAGGCTGCCCTGGCCTCCCCGCGGGTCGAGCCCAGGCCCCACCCCCACTGGTCCGCTTGAGGCTTGTCTGCCAACTCAAGGTCTGGGTCGGGTTGCAGTTGTGTTCCTGCCACGATTTCCATAAAATAAGTGTAACAATGCGAGACGGGGCGTACAGAAGACAACAAATGTCTTTAAGCCCCAACCCTGCATCTTCACACCTGTTCTCCTGCCTTCCTCATGCCAGCCGGAGAGTTGCAGAAAAGCCCAGAGAGGCAGGGTGCTTGCCCAGCGTCACACAATAACGAAAGGGGAGGGGACACGTTTCAAATGAGACTTGGGGTGAAGCCACAGCCCTACCCCTTTATTAACTACGAAGAAACCAGCACTGTCTTCACTGTTTCCCTAGGAGCTGTATAATGTGTTATGTGTGTTTTCCAGACAGCCTCGAAGGCCATGGTATGAAAAGTCTCTCAGCCTCAGGATAGAAATGTGAGAAAGAAAATAGAACAAGCCTACAAGCCAGCCCTCACACGGCTGGGGATTTACCCAGAGGATACAGAAACACTCACTCCCCAGGATGTTTAGAGCTGCATTACTTACAGTATCCAAGACATGGACGCAGCCCCGGTGTCCCTCGACTCATGAATAAAGATAAAGAAGACGTGGTGAGTATACACAGTGGACTACTACTCGCCCATAAAAGAGAATGAAATCTTGCCATTTGCAATGACATGGATAGACCCAAAGAGTATGATACTAAGTGAAATAAGTTGGTCAGAGAAAGACAAATACCATATGATTTCATTCATGTGGAATTTAAGAAACAAAACAAACGAGCAAAGGGAAAAGAGAGAGAGACAAACCAAAAAACAGACTCTTGATGTATAGAACACACTGACGTCACCAGAGGGGTGAGGGATGGGGGAGGAGGAAACAGGTGACAGGGATGAAGGAGGCACCTGCTGTGAGGAGCAGCGGGGGATGTACGGAGGCGTTGAATCCCTGCATTGTGCACCTGAAACTAATACAACACTGTATGTTAACTTTACTGGAACTAAAATTAAAAAATACTTTTTTTAAATGTGCCGAAGGAAAGAGGGGACCCCTCCCACGTGGGTTCCAGAGCACTGCGCAGGCCTGACCACACACCCCACCCCGGGTGGACCTCGCGGTCTGTGTCTAAGTTTCTCTCCTGAACCACAAACCCCGAACGTGTCCCGCCGCAGCTTTCATACACTCGAGCACCGTTCATGCTTTATTGTTCCCTTTGGGATTTGCCTTAAAATAAGAAAAGACGCCCAGGGTGAGTGCAGGACTGTGGGAGGGTCGACCAGCAGGCCAGGCTATGCCCACAGGAGTCACCGTCGTGGGAGCAGACTCTCGGCGATCCTCGGCAACTGCCGTCACCGGCGGGGACTCCTAGTGAAGCCTTCGGCTAAAAGTATGAGGTTTTTGTGAGACAAAAGAAGTTTATTCACGTTCAGGACAAAACTAGAGGGAGTTTAAGCAGCGACTGGTGTGGCCGGCGAGCCGTAAGCAGCCGCACGTGCTCAGGCCTGGCTCTGAGTGCGGTTCTGCTGTGGGACACAAGCTTATTTCACCACCAGGCCCAGCTCTGCCGGCGTTGGGTGAAGACCAAAGTCACACGACTCACAGAGTGGCGTGGAGGGGCAGGAGGGGGGAGGGGAGCGCCGGGGGGAGAGCAGGGCCCAGCCCGGCACCTCACGGGCCATGGGCTCTGGAAACACCACCAGCGTCAGGCCGGCCCCACGCACACGCTGCAGTCCACAGACGCCGCTGGGCCCGGTCCTTACCTCTCAACACTGTCAGAGGCTCATTGCGCTCCGAGTCTCTCCGCTACCTGTTCTTTCGGCAAGGACAGCTTTGAAATAGGAAGTTAGGTATAAACAGCACCCAACCTCACCCAGGAACCCGAAGTTCAGTGTTTAAGACTGGATTTCTTGCTCCGCACAAGCCAGCCAAGGTCCCATGGTGCTCGCGTGCCAGCCAGGACAGAGTTCATAAGGGCCTCACGTAGCAATACGGAACTTTCCAGAGATTGGCCATGCCTCTGTCACAAGGGCTGTGGGGAGAGGGGGCTCGACGACGGTGGAGCAGCCCCTCCCTGGAGAATCCAAGGGAGTCTCTGCAACAGCCTTGCTGGGGCCCACAGCCGGGCCTGGTCTTTCCCACAAAAGCCACCCCCACCATCCCCACTAGCCTGAGCCTGAAATCCCCACCTCACCTCCAGCCGTCCCACCCAGTCTCGTGTCCAGGAGCCTCCGGGAAATGCATTTATCCTGCACACCCAGCAATGGTTCTAGAGAAGACAGCCTCTGGGGAAAGAACCCTCAGCCCTGGGAAGATGCAGATGCACCCTGAGTTTTCACATGATTTAAAGGACTCCGTGGACCTTGATGAGAGGGGCTACTCCTCGTGGCGTGCAGCAGGCGCAGGTCCTGCCTCGGAGCCCACGGTCCAGAGAAAGAGCTCTCAGTGGGGTGGGAACAGCGCAGCAGCCCCAGCATGCGTGGTGTTTAGCTGATGGCACCGTCACCTCCCCCCCCAGAGCAGTCGTGTCCTGGTCCACAGATGGAGAAACTGAGGCTCAAGAGGTAGAGATCTATCCAAGGTCCTTGAGTCATGAGCAGCTGAATGGGAGCAGGAGCTCGGCGCGTCCAGGTGGCCCCGAGCACGTGGCCTGGGAGGCCTGGAGGGTGGGTAGTGTGGGGTGGCAGTCTGTCATCGTCCTTGGTCTCTTCACCAGCCTTGGCCTGCCCCTCTCCCCTCCTGCACCCCAGCTCTCCCTGATGAAACCAAACTGGATGGGAAGCAGGCCACCTCCAGGGACCTCCCTGGCCTCTGGCTGGCTCCACGTCCTCAGGTCTGTGCTGACACGTCTGTCCAGCCTTCCAGAGGGATTCTTAAGAACACAAGCCACATCTGTGCCTCTGTACATAACAGGTGGTGCCTTATTAAATTAACAGAAGTGACCCTGTGACCCTGTCCTGATGTTCCCTTCACCCATGACCCAAGTCTAGGCCCCGGCACGGAGAACAGCCGAGAGGGATGCTCAGGGGCTAGCAAAGGCTGCCTAAGCCACCTGTCCGCACCTGGAGCCCAGCTCCACAAGTGTGATGTGCATCCGAGCCCCGGAGAGCCTGCTAACGTGCGGGTCCTGACTGCAGATCTGAGAGGTGCCAGGAGTCTGGACCTCTACACGCAGCAAGGTGATGCCGAGCGGCAGGTCCGGGACCACACCTGGAGAACAAGGTTCTGCAAGCCACACTGTCCAGCCACTAGCTACTTAAAATCATATCTAAAGTTTAAGTTAAGGGATGCCTGGGTGGCCCAGTCAGTAAAGTATCTGCCTTCAGCTCAGGTCATGATCTCGAAGTCCTGGGTTCGAGCCCCATGTCAGACTCCCTGCTCAGCGAAAGAGTCTGCTTCTCTCTCTCCCCCTCTGCTGATCCCCCTGCTTGTGCTCTCTC